CGGCGGCGGAACGTTTAGTGTCCAGCGTAGGAACAGCGGGGAGGGGATACTTAGGAATTTATGTAAGATATCTTTTCCTTTATTTTTTTCTTCGTTTGCAAGAGATATGGGGAACTGGCCGTGATGTAAATGCCGGAGATAACACTTTTGCCACTTTTGTTTAGTGATTAGTGACAATGTTCCATTGTAACACTCTTCTCTGAAATCCTTTGTACCGTGTTCAATTTTGGCCACCTGTGCCTGTACCCTGTACAAAACTGGTCATCTGTAACTGTACAAAACTGGACATCTGTAACTGTACCCTGTACAAGACTGTGAGGTTCGATTCCCGTGGCAGGACAGAGACGTTTCATTTCACCTGATGCATCTATTCTCCACTAGTAAATAGGTACCCGGGAGCTAGGCAACTGTTGTGGGTGGCATCCTAGGGAAGGTCAGTAGTTGGCCCTAGGGGGGGGGGGGCGGGGAACTGGCTAAACCTAACAGGCTTCTTGTCCACGACAATGGGAAATAAAACAAACAAATTTGATTATAATGGAACCTGATCATTGCTCGCTTTTTTCTTTGTTTTTTTAATCTAAAAAATTGTCTAATAAATGTGGTCCATGAATAGACGCGTGTTTCCACAACACACACACACACACACACACACACACACACACACACACACACACACACACACACACACACACACACACACACACACACACACACGATTAGTCACTTACATATATTATTATAATATACGAGATAATGAATTACCTCGTCTTGCGCTAATATAGAAGTCTGCCCACTTCTCCAGAGTCTCCGGTCGTAGAAAACGAGCACGAGTCCAGCTATATCTATTTTATATAGAAAGTCGTACTAGCTTTCCAAATAAGTTTAGTTTGTAACGTTTGTTAAGGAACTCGTTTGGTTTCAACTCTTTTTTCCATGTCGTAGCTCAGTCGATTAAGGCAGCGTCTGGGATGCTCTGGGAAACCAATGTGGTTTCTCCCAATGTGGTTTGTCTCACCTTATCACTTCCAATGAATTAACTTAATTAACCCCCTGTCAACTAGTGGGGCTAGGTATCCTAAGTCTCCTTGGTTCATTTTCTGACTTAATTTTTAACTTACTCTTACCTAGTCATTTACCGAAATTATTTAATTGAGTTATTAAGTAGTTCTTCAGGTCTTTTTAATTATACAGTCATTACTGAACTATCTATAGTTATTAATCATTAGCTTAAATTTGCCTATGTTTATTATTCAACTTTTCTTTGATTTCATTTATTACCTAGGTTGCCTAGCCTTGCCATGCTCCCTTACTCCATTGTACCCCTGGCTTTGCCTGCATCTCAAATTGCAAATTGTTACTTACAGTGTACCTGTGAGTACTCGTAAGCAATCTACCTCATTTTTGCTCAATTTGTGTTTTTTTTTTTTTTTTTGTATTGCTTAGTCTTGCTTATATTTTTGTTTTGTATTTCCATATCTTGTGTTTTGTATAGTCCATGTTTACATGTTTTTTCTTTAATCTCATTAATTGCCTAGGTTGCCTAGCCTAGCCATACTCCCTTACTCCATTGTACCCCTGTAAGCCCCTTTTGTGTTTGTTTTGTACAGTATTGTGTATATATTTTTCCCTATTTTATAGCTTTTTTCTACTTATTTCTGATTCTACAATCAGCTTCTTTTATGCAGTCAAGTATAGACCCAGAACTTAACCTCTTATCCACCATCTATGACAATAATCACTTTAATGATCTAAATTGCAGATATTTTGCAGCACATGATGTAAACAATGTATTAACTCATAATCACAATATCTCTGTAATCAATTTGAACGTTAGATCCCTAGGTAAACACTTCGATGATGTTAGTGCCTTGATTGAAACTATTGGCAACAAATTCTCTTTTATTATACTTACTGAAACATGGTTGAAAGAGGATACTACTCAACTCTTTAACATGCCTAACTACTCAGCAATTCACAACTGTCGTCAACTTCAGAGAGGTGGTGGCACTGCTCTTTACTACCACCAAGAACTAACATGCTTAAAAGAAATTAGAACTAGAGACTGCTATGGGGAGTATATCTTCGCCAGCTTCAGAGTCAAGGGTGCCGAGTCTGTCCTGTCTGTGGGTGCAGTCTATAGAATTCCCAACACTGATGTGTCTGTATTCAACTCAAACCTTAGAAATCTAATACTTGATAACAGACTGAACAAAAACCACCTAATTATCGCAGGGGACTTTAATATTGACCTCTGCGAGCCTGAACACCCTACTGCTGTTAGCTTCCTCAACTGTATGAATTCCTGCCTCCTCATACCCTTAATCACTAGACCTACTAGAATCACTGATAGCACTGCCACGACTCTAGATCACATCTGGACCAACATAACCTCTCCGCTTACTTCAGGTATAATCACCGATAGCACTACAGACCACTACCCCACATTTCTCTTAACTAACATTAGCAAACCACCTCTAGAAACAAGGGAGTTAAGCTTTAGGCTGCACAATGAAACTGCTATAAACAATTTTATAACTGCTGCTGATAATGTCAACTGGGAGTCCGAGTTAGGTAACATAGGGGACATCAACCTAGCAGTGCAATCTTTTCTACAAACAACTCTTAGCCTTTATAACACCCACTGTCCTAGGCTTACAAAACAAGTCACAAGCAAAAGGCTTAACAATCCTTGGCTTACAAAGGGAATACTGAAATCCATTAACAAAAAACACGACCTTGAGAAGAAGTATAGGTTAGGAATTGTCTCCAAAGAATTCTCAAAGAATTACTCATTATTGCTAACTAAGATAATTAGACGAGCCAAAACTAATTACTACGAAGATAAATTTACTCAAATAAAGAGCAACATTAAACAAACTTGGAGCACAATTTCACAAATATTGGGATCAAAGAAATCTTTAAATAACAAACCGACTCTCCTGTCTAATAACGATGGTCAGCTTTCAGCCTCTGATTCTGCTATTGAGTTCAATAGGTTCTTCTCTTCCATTGGTTCATCCCTTGCAAATGATATTCCATCTTCCAGTACTGACATTAAGGACTATCTTACAGGTAACTATCCACAGTCTCTGTACCTAAAGCCTATTAACTCCACTGACGTCAATGAGATAATCCTTTCCCTTAAAACCAAGTCTGGTGCCCTTGAGGAGATACCAACTTTAATTTACAAAAAAGCCTCCAGATCTTTAGCCCCTGCTATTGCTTTGCTCTTCAACAAGTCACTTGAACTCCAAACCTTTCCAGATATTCTAAAAAAAGCGAGAGTAACGCCTGTCCACAAATGTGGTGACCCCACAGATGTTAACAACTACAGACCTATATCAATCCTGCCAAACTTGTCAAAAATTTTTGAAAAACTTATATACAAGCAGCTTTACTCATATCTAGCCAAACTCAATATACTTAGCCCTTGCCAATATGGCTTCAGACCCAAAAAAAGCACTAACGATGCACTTATTAGTATGCTTAACTCGATTCATACAGCTCTTGATAAAAAGGAGCTCCCTGTTGGGTTATTTGTGGACCTGCGTAAAGCTTTTGATACTGTCAACCACCATAACCTTCTTCTTAAATTACATCATTATGGAGTCAGAGGACACTCCCTACAATACCTCGAGTCCTACCTTACTGACAGGCTCCAATATGTTTCTGTGAATAATACAATTTCTCCCACCCTACCCATCAACATTGGTGTTCCTCAGGGCAGCATACTTGGCCCTCTCCTCTTTCTCATCTACATTAATGACCTTCCAAATGCCTCCCAACACCTCAAACCAATTCTATTTGCTGACGACACAACCTTCATTTACTCCAGTCCTGACCCTCTTGCTCTAAATGCCACAGTAAATACTGAGCTAAATAAAGTCCATCTTTGGCTAACTGCCAACAAACTCACCCTTAACATTGACAAAACCTTCTATATTCTGTTTGGCAATAAATCCTCTAGTCTTATAAATCTCAAAATAAACAATACCCAAATTTGTAACAAATTAGATGGCAAATTCCTTGGCATTCTCATTGACCACAAGCTGAATTTCCAGGGACACATTCTAAATATATCAAAAAAAGTTTCAAAAACTGTGGGCATTCTTTCTAAGATCAGATATTATGTACCACGCCCTGCTCTGGTGACTCTCTATTACTCCCTTATCTATCCTTATCTCAACTATGGTATTTGTGCTTGGGGTTCTACTACCCAAAATCACTTACGTCCTCTAATTACCCAACACAAAGCCGCTATTAGAACAATATCCAACTCTGGCCCCAGACATCACTCGGTACCCCTACTCAAATCTCTTAATATGTTAGATATTAAGTCACTGCACATTCTCTCATGTGTATTATACATATATAAAACGCTAAACTATAATGCCAATCCTGATCTTAAAAGCTTCATAGATGGTTGTAACAGAACCCATGAGCACCACACCAGAAATAAATACAGTTTTGATATTCCTAGAGTACGTCTTAATCAAACTAGAAATGCTCTGCAAATCAAGGGGCCCAGAATGTGGAATGACCTTCCCAACCATGTTAAAGACTGTACCTCTCTCAACCAGTTTAAGATAAAAACTAAACACTACTTAATAAATTCCCTGTAATCTACCTCACTCCTCTATTGTCAACCCATGTCTGTTATTTTCTTTTTATTTTATTTTTTTTTTTTTTTTTTTTTTTTTTTAATCAACACTGTTTGTCAACCTATTGTATTTGTGCTGCTTTTTCAGTCATGTTCCCCCCTTTTTTTATCTTTATTTGTATTTGTTCTCAACATCTTTTATTCTTTATGCTCAATTAGTATTAAGTTCTTGATATTAATGTTTTTCTTGCCCGAAACGCATTGCGTAATAGTGGCTTTAGGCATTGTATGTACTAGCTCTATCTATATATCAATCCATTAATGTAACATCACTTGTATGTATATACCTTACCTGAATAAACATCTGAATCTGAATCTGAATCTGAATCTGAATCTCTCGGACGCAGGTTCGAATCCTCGTCACAGCCCTTGTGGATCTGTAACGTTTGTTAAGGAATACGAGTTTGGGGTGACATGGTCACCCAAACTCCAGGACGGACTGAAATGTCGTCGTCCCTTCACCTTCTAGTGTGTGGTCTGGTCAAACTCATGTTTGTGTTATATAGACTGTTGAGATTGACAAATGCGTCAATTTGTGGTCGACCGCTGCTTGCGGATAGCTTGTGATATAGGCCAGTGAAGCCATGTGGTCTCTGGATTTACTTTAAATAAGGGTTACGTTCTGACATTTTATGAGGGTCGTGATTGTTTTATCCTATATCCAAATGACACTGCGCCTGTATCCAAGTATCTTAGCGCCTCAGAGGCCTGTATCTAAGTACTACAGCACCTCAGAGGCCTGTATCTAAGTATTACAGCGCCTCAGAGGCCTGTATCTAAGTATTACAGCACCTCAGAGGCCTGTATCTAAGTATTACAGCACCTCAGAGGCCTGTATCTAAGTATTACAGCACCTCAGAGGCCTGTATCTAAGTATTACAGCACCTCAGAGGCCTGTATCTAAGTATTACAGCACCTCAGAGGCCTGTATCTAAGTATTACAGCACCTCAGAGGCCTGTATCTAAGTATTACAGCACCTCAGAGGCCTGTATCTAAGTATTACAGCACCTCAGAGGCCTGTATCTAAGTATTACAGCACCTCAGAGGCCTGTATCTAAGTATTACAGCACCTCAGAGGCCTGTATCTAAGTATTACAGCACCTCAGAGGCCTGTATCTAAGTATTACAGCGCCTCAGAGGCCTGTATCTAAGTATTACAGCACCTCAGAGGCCTGTATCTAAGTATTACAGCACCTCAGAGGCCTGTATATAAGTACTACAGCGCCTCAGAGGCCTGTAGCCTTAGGTAAGGTAAAAGTTTCTTAGACAATTCTGGAGCAAGTAACAAGACAGGCCCATATGTCCTGCGTCGTAGCTCACTCTCTCAACAGTTTCCTAACTGTTCATGAATCAACAGACAATATTTCCTCTTTTATAGCTGCTATATTTAAAGACCATTTTAAAATATAGCATTTTGAGTTTATAGAGTTGTGACTCTTGGCAGCCGCAAGAGACGAGCGACATGTATCTCCCATCAACGCCTGATCCAGACTGACTCACTGCTGACCTGCCCACCCCACTCACTCACAGGATTTCACTGGGTATTAATTTGCCCTTTTACTGATAATTATTCCGTTTCGTATTGACCTCAAGTATACACTCGACTCGGAACGAAACTGGAATATTTTTGGGGTTTCGGCGAAGGGCAGCTGTAGAGGGGTAGTGCCCAAGGTGGTCATCAGGTCGCTAAAAGTTGTAATGTTTGCGTGACGTCATGTGCTGGGCACCAGGGTGGGGGTATGCGTGGGTAGGGAGGCTCAGTTGTGGTTGTGCCGTCGACCAGGCAGCACGTCACTCCAGGTTCCTCTAGGACTTAACACGCCGCTCACAGGTACCATACTCCTCTTACCTGTCAACAATAAATAAAAAACATTATATATATTAATTATCTAATAGTACAATTTTAATGCTTGGTAATTTAGGCTTAGCTTTACCTACAGTTTGATCAAATTTCTAAGTTATTTTTAACTCAAGTTAAAAATCATATATAATGAAAGGTTAATCATTTCATAAGAAAACAATTGCTAAAAATATCAAATTTCAGGAAAATTCGGCTTGTTAGGCAACTTAGCGTATATATATATATATATATATATATATATATATATATATATATATATATATATATATATATATATATATATATATATATATATAAGGGATGAAAATAACAATCATTCGTACTGTTCTAGGTGAGGAAGAATGACGGAGGGAGGGAGGCAGTGTGCCTCAGCACCTAGCAGCTAGGAATGCTATTCATCAGCGCTACACAACTGTGCTATGAGTTAAGGGGTGGAGTGCGTCAAGGTGGTGGTTTGGTTCCTGTGTTGCTGAAGCCAGTGACAAGAGCCAGCGTATTGATGCTCCCTGGCACCAAGTGGCACTCCTGAGTGACGAGAATACTCACAAGTGATCCTGGAGTGGAATTAGGAGCTCCAACATCAGAATATACGAAATTTATTGACCATGTCTCACATTGCTCAGCTCCTCGACTTACATGGACCTGAGGGTTTGCTGTTTATTGAAAATAACTAAAGTTGCAGGAGTTCAGTTTTGTATTAAATGAAATTTAGTGAACTTTAACTAAGCCAAAGAAAAATTGTTGAATACTAGTGAGAGTCAGCAATAGTGAACATGACATTTTAAGCCATCTGGCGTTACTTGTCACGCCATCTGCAGGTGGTTGGAACATTTACAGAGTGTAAGTGACCAGCGGTCGGCACTGCATCACCAGCTGTGGTTGCACAGAAGGACACTAGCAGTGGTCACCGTGTTGTTCTGCCTCGAGTCAATATCTTGCAGCGAGGACTGTCATGCCAGTGGAGTCGCCTCAGTGAGAAGAAATTTCCAGGACCTTTCAATATTGCAACGTGCTCGTAGAACCCCAAAATCGGGACTTAGCTTGTGTTTCAGAGTAATTATTGGTTGAGCTGGCTCTCATTATCTCCTTGAGGATAAGCTATAAAAAATATATAGAAAGGAAAGTGGCGAATGTGTTGGTAGCGAACATAGAAAAATCAAAATCATAATTTGTATAGAATCTTTTATATCTGGTTATCCAACAGATGTGTTATCGTTTAGTAATTCAAGTAACGACTCACAGATGACGGCGACAAAGTGATCTGGGGTGATTATGTCGTTGGTGCGGTCAACCGCTTTTATCATCGTCCGCCAGTATTGGCGGGAAGAATGTGGTGGTTTGTGATGCTGGAGAGGCTGCCGTCCGGGCCAGGGTGTCGGTACCTAGGCAACCCTAACAGCATCCTGCCATAAACCATCCTGTTATCTGTCTTGTGCCCCCGTGATATATGCCCCTGATATAATCAAGTGCCTACAGACAGTACCTGGCAAGTGTGTTTTAGACTGGGACAAGGTCAGACTTTCCTTACCGTGGAAGACTCGATGATTTAAACTCGGTCACAAGTAGTGATCCTTGAAACAGTTGCCGCCGAACTGATCTTATTTAGGTGGTTATAGGAGCTGCTTCGTATGGGCCTTCTGCAGTTATCTTTGTTCTTATGTTCTTAACTGGTTGAGTGTGATTTTATTTTCGGTAGAAAAATGATCGACAAAGAAGATATGGATATGGAAGCATTATTACCAGGGACTGGCCAGAAGGACAAGATGTGTACCGATAGCAACAACAACCATGGTCAGCGGAGACCCACTAAGATAGCAGAGAAGTATGGTTTACGGCCGCGGACCATCATCAGGAGACTTCAGCTGGAGAGAGCCCGAGAGAATATGCCCCAGAGGATGTCCAAGACGCCCAAGAATAGACCGCCGCCATTGTCTAAGTACAGGAGAAAGACTGCCAATGCCCGCGAGAGACATCGCATGAAGGAAATTAACGATGCCTTTGAAACCCTTCGTCGAGTTTTACCCGACTTCTGCAGTCGCCAAGCAGCGGCGGCCATGACCAAGATCACCACACTCAAACTGGCCGTCGACTACATCAGAGCGCTCTCTCACATCCTGGAAGATGGACATCCCGGTGATATTAATTTCTTCGACGGCCTGAAATTCGCTGATGTCTGTGAGGGAAGCCCCACGCCTCAACCGCCCTCTCATACCTACACCTTCCCGCCTCACATTATATTCGCGCAGTCAACACCTGCCTCTACTGCCTCTCCCGGGGCCTCATCTACTACCGCCTCAGCCCATCTACGGGGCTCCATCAGCAGCACCAGTGACCTAAGTGACCTCCTGTCTGACGACTCCTGCGTCTTCGAGGACAACTTAGACGCCTTCGATGACATTCCTGCGCTGCCCGAAGCTGATCCCTTTGCTCTTCTCCTAGTCCCGGACGGAGAGGCACTGGCGTTGGGATCGTAGTTTCTAAAGTTGTGAAATCATGTTCTGAGTGCACTAATTCTTAGAATTTAGGATAATGAGAATTTAAGATAACGTGGGCCTGGATTCTGAACATTTGTTCCCCAGAACATAGAACATCCACCCTCATACTCAAAAGATTTTCAGGTACAGAAAGCACATGAAAAATAAATAGGTTCAGAGACTTTAGATCCTTTGAACATTGATTATAATCTGTGGCGAAGGACAGTCTGTCAATTGTTAAGGTGTTTATAAACAGGCGTTGTATTTATGATACATATTTAAAACAATGTTTACAAAGTATTAGTTCCTTATGTAAATAGTTTTCAATTATGACCGTCCAGCGCCCCAGAGCCACACTGGCTCAGCGCCTCACAATTATCTATTTGACCACAACCCGTCCTCCTAATAGAACGTCGCATTTTGACGTACACACCACCTAAGGCCAAAAATTGGCGTACTAGAAAATGGTAGCTGCTCGCGAACTTGACGCAGTGTCCCGTTTTCTGTCCTCTGGTAGGTTAGGATAAGGGGGCACTTTAGTACGACAGTTTCTTGACGTTGGGAAATCTTAGGAGGACGGGCTGTGTGATCACCCGTATTAGGCAAAGGTGTATATATGACGTATGATTGACGTACTGTTTTTTTCAAACCACATATGAAGTGGTTAATGATGGATCGAAACTCGTATGATAGGCTATGACTGCATGTAATAGTTCTGACGACATATAATAGCTCTGATTACATATACAATTCCTGATTGCATATCGTAGGACGAAACCACATATAAGAGGCTATATGATTTGGACCCCAGACTTGTGCAATGGTCCGAAATGTGCGTTATGTTAGCGGGTAACCCGTGTTTATCATTTTTTATGACCATTATTTAATGCTTTGCTCTCTCCTTATATCTTTTTTTTTTACCTCGCTGTGTTTCTCTCTGTCTCTGCATGTGCCTTTTCTCTTTCATCTCATATTACTTGTATTACTGTATTTTATACTTATACACACTCGCACGCACACACCCACACACACACACACACACACACACACACACACACACACACACACACACACACACACACACACACACACACACACACACACACACTGGTGGTCTGGTGGCTGAGCGGACAGCGCGCAGGACTCGTAATTCTGTGGCCCGGGTTCGATTCCCTGACCAAGCAGAAACAAATGGGCAGTTTCTTTCACCCTGATGCTATTGTTACCTAGCAGTAAATAGGTACTTGGGAGTTAGACAGCTGCTAACCTGGCGATGTGTGTGTGTGTATGTGTTAGAAATATATGTAGTAGATATAAGAAGAAATTGGTATGAAAGGCGGGGTCCAAGAGCTATTCGCTCGATTCTGTACACACAAATAGCAAATACACACACACACTCTTGAGTCATTATTCTAATAATGGACTTCAACGTCATCCTGATTGGTTTATAGCAATTTACCTGGTCAGGGGATTTGAACTGGGGTTGATGCAGGTAGCAGTGGTCGGCGGTTGCAATGGTTACCAGGACTCACCTAGTTGTGCTTGCGGGGGTTGAGCTCTGGCTCTTTGGTCCCGCCTCTCAACTGTCAATCAACTGGTGTACAGGTTCCTGAGCCTACTGGGCTCTATCATATCTACATTTGAAACTGTGTATGGAGTCAGCCTCCACCACATCACTGCCTAATGCATTCCACCTGTTAACTATTCTGACACTGAAAAAGGTATTTCTAATATCTCTGTGGCTCGTTTGGGTATTCAGTTTCCACCTGTGTCCCCTTGTTCGCGTACCACCCGTGTTAATAGGGTACCACCCTATGATGAGCTCGTAATGGTTCATCCAGTAGGACATGTGCCTAGAGACTCCAAGAGCGAGGGTTCGATCCCCACCAAAAGGCCTGAATATTATCTCCATCCTCCTTGTCATTGAATATATATGTTTTAGCATACTGAAATCAAACCATGGTACTCATCTAGTTGTGGTTGCGTGGGTTGAGCTTTGGCTCTTTGGTCCCGCCTCAGATTATGTCATATGTCATAATATCATATGATTATGATATGATTATATGATATGATTATGCCATAATGGTGTTAGATTATGAAGGTGTTTATAATAATAAATAATAGTTATTTATTTACATGTATAATTTGTATATCTAGGGTCATTGAAGCGAGCAGCAACAGGCCTCTCACTATCAGGAGCACTTCACTATCATATCTAAATGTAAACACCGAATACTCCATTTTGAAACTAGGCAAAACAGTAAAAAAAATTAATTAATTTAAAAAAAGTTAGTTTCTTAACATTGGTTCTTTTCCTACGTGGTCAATACTCTATAAAATTTAAAGTTTTTTTTGTTATTATTTTTTTGCTTAGATAAAAAAATGGTGTTTTGAGCGTGTATATAGAAGTATATATATTCCACTGAGTATATTGATTGATGAAAATTAAGCTAACCCAAGAGGTGACACGGGCATGAATAGCCCGTAAGTGGTGGATTAATTTTGGAGTGAATGTATATACTGTGTGCTGAGGTCGCATGTTGTTGTTGTTGTTATAGATGCAGCTACTCGGAACAAGTTCCAAGTAGCACGGGCTATGGTGAGCCCGTAAGTGAAGTCGCATTTACTGAGTGTGTATATCACTGAGGCGAGGCTGGGTGGTCGAGGGCAGGTGGTGTTGATCAATAATGTTTCTGTTGGTTTTCAACAGCGTTCTAGTCTGTGTTGATCTGTTGACCTGTTACCAGTGTCAATATTATTATAAGGATTATCGTGGGAGGTTCCCCCTATGTGACTCTGAGGCAATAAAGCGGTCAAACGAACATTTCCAAGCAGTTTCATTCCACAGTCATATCTCTCGCTAGTCTGGGACCATCCACACCTTTCTGCGTGGACAAATGCTGATGGCAAGTTCTCCTGGTGTAGAAATTACTATAGAATATGCGTCTGTGTGAAAGATACATTTTGAGAAGATGGAAGATACGAAGAAAGAGAGAGAGAGAGAGAGAGAGAGAGAGAGAGAGAGAGAGAGAGAGAGAGAGAGAGAGAGAGAAAGAGAGAGGGAGGGAATTATCAGGTGAAAGCGCCAAGCCAATACGACTATATACCACTTGGAAGGGATCAGGATAAGGATTTGGGACGGGATGGGGGGGGGGGGGGAAATGGTGCCCAACCACTTGAACGGTCGGGGATTGAACGCCGATCTGCATGAAGCGAGACAAAGATTCGAAAAAGATGTACAGGTTCATAAGTGCTTGCGTAACTGCTTCATGAATCTGGCCCCAGATCATGGGGTTGACTGGTGCTTGACCTTCTGGGGGCGCGAGTGGCTGTGTGGATAGCACGCTGGACACGTAATCCTGTGGCCCGGGTTCGATTCCCGGCACCGGCGAGAAACAATGGGGCAGAGTTTCTTTCACCCTGATGGGTCTGTTACCTAGCAGTAAATAGGTACCTGGGAGTTAGACAGCTGTTACGGGCTGCTTCCTGGGGGTATGTGTGTGAGTGAAAAAAAAATTAGTTAGTAGTTAGAAACAGTTGATTGACAGTTGAGAGGCGGGCCGAAAGAGCAGAGCTCAACCCCCGCAAGCACAACTATGTGAATACAACTAGGTTAACACAGACTCTCGTTATTTTGTTGTTTTTGATTCAGCTACTTAGAACAAAAGTTCCAAAGTAGCACGGGCTATGGTGAGCCCGTAGTGGACTTACCTGGCACAGGAGCGGTGCTGTAACTGGGCTACAGACTGAGAGCAGCTGTGAAGCTGGCAGCAGTTCAAGATGTGGGAAGAGGCAGGGGCCATATCTCAAGATTTTCATTTATTATTATTTTTCAACCACAGACGTAGCCAGACATTTATAATGCTAACCAGCATATTTACATTTTCTTCTGTCCTCCATGGACGGGGTTAGAGATGTGTTAAACATATAGTTGAGTGATTTATTGAACAGTCAACCACAGAAGGTGATTGTGGTGCAGACACTCAAGACGCCAAAGCGGTGAGGGTAAAAGCTTCAGGTGACTTAAGAACATGCAATTGCTTCCTGCAGTATTATAGGACCGGTGAGTAAATATTGCCATTAAGTGGCTCTTGTCTCACGTCTCTGACCTCGTCACGGGAGACATCTCCCGTCACGCAGGGTGCAGTCGCATCTCCACAGATCTCCAGTATCATCTATTGATACTGGAAATGGCTCAAAAGGGCCACCACTTATGGGCTATTCATGCCCAAGCCACCTTTTGGGTGGCTTAATCCTCTCTCTCTATCTCTCTGACCTCGTAAAACTAACCTCAAAATGCTTTAAAAATTACCACTTAAATAAATTGACAAATTCACGCATTAAATTGATTGATAAATTCTCAATCGACTTGAGGATGGTCCAGGACGGACCGAAACGTCGTCGTCCCTTCACCTTCTAGTGTGTGGTCTGGTCAACATACTTCAGCCATGTTATTGTGACTCATCGCCTGCACTTAAATAAACATTTTAATTTCACGTATTGAATTTTTCAAATCATTCGTTGAAACACTCAAACTTTCGTGTAGATAAAAATAAAAAGAACCAAAATATATATTTTAACACAATTTTCTGGACTAAACAAATTGTGTCAATAAAAAAATCAGTTTGAAATAAAGACGCTTTATGGGCCTGACAGCTGAGTGGACAGCACTCGGGATTCGTAGTCCTGAGGTTCCGGGTTCGATCCCCGTTGGAGGCGGAAACAATTGGGCAGAGTATCTTTCCCTCCGAGTGTGAGGTGCTCGTAGTGTGAGGTGCTAGTAGTGTGAGGCTAGTACTCCCCCTAGTACTGCCCCTAGTACTGCCCCTAGTACTGGCTAGCTAGTCCCTGGCCTGGTATGTGGTTCTGAGTGTATGTCTTAACATACCAGAAGAGGTGTTGCGCCTCCTCCGATGTATGAGTGAATATGTATAGAAGTGTATGCATATGTATGCCAAGGTGAAGGTCTCGACCTGGAATTTCCTGCAGATGCCCAGGACCATCAGGTGTAGCCAGGGCACCGCACCAACCACTGTTAATACCCCACAACACCGTACTGAAGGCTTAACAAGGCGCCAAAATGTACACGATAACTTTGCCGCGATTCTAAACTCGTCACCCAAAACTATTGTGAATAACGACATATTTTTAACAAGATAAACAAGTAGACAATACAAGCATATGCCCAAAGTTAAAAAAGTATAAACTAATCAAACGCAGACTTGTATACAAGGATGGGTGCGTAAAACAAAAAGCCATCGCTTGAAGGGTATTTTAACCGCTTTGACGGCATCGACAGAGAGCGGGAAGATCGCCAAGCGTATTCCGCGGTGGCCGAGTCAATAAGAGGATTTGTATTCGGTGTGTCTAGACGAGATTTGTCGTGAATGTGAGGTGGTCGCTAGAGGCCACACAGAGGGGTGTGTCGTGCATCTGGGTGGGCTTCACCCCTGGTGCTGAAGGCTCTGATGTGTTGCATATGGGTCCCGTAGCACAGTAGCCTGCGTCGTGGGCTCTGATGTGTTGCATATGGGTCCCGTAGCACAGTAGCCTGCGTCGTGGGCTCTGATGTGTTGCATATGGGTCCCGTAGCACAGTAGCCTGCGTCGTGGGCTCTGATGTGTTGCATATGGGTCCCGTAGCACAGTAGCCTGCGTCGTGGGCTCTGATGTGTTGCATATGGGTCCCGTAGCACAGTAGCCTGCGTCGTGGGCTCGCTGGTTTGAGTCCCGCGATAGGACAGAAACATTTTATAACACTCGTGTTGTGATTTCTCGCCCCAACTTGTCACACTTAAAGAGTGAGTACGAGGTATATCACCCTAAATACGCAGGTACGGAACGCGATCTGAAGTTTATTAACGATGTGTTGGCGAATTACAGGCGGGCTAGAATTGGTAACACTGACGGGTAGTGATCCTTGGGGCAGGGGTGCCAACACCACCGCGGCCAGCAAGACGCAGAAGTTTATCTGAAGAAGTCATGCAATTTCTTCATCCATTAGTCGCCTGAAGGCTCCATATGTCCTAATGGTTATTCTTTTCCTCTGATTTGCTTTTGTGGTCAAAGTTTAT